GTATGAAACGTGACACACTGTCAAAATGAAAACATTCAAAGCTAGTGCTTGGTATGACCTCCCTGGGCATTAACACAATGCTGGCAGTGCCGACGCATAGACCTGATCAGTCTCTGTACAGACTGCTGTGGGATGCTGCACCTCCCTTCTTGAGCAGCTGCAGCCAGCTGGTGCAGGATGGCCAGTCGTGGGCGTCTCCTGTTGATGGCACTGGCAAGCTGGTCCTACAAGTGCTGTACTGGACTGAAGACAGGTGATAAGGCTGGCCAGGGCAAGACCCCAACATTGCAGCCATGCCATTGTAATCTTGGCACTGTGTGGTCTTGCATTGCCCTGCAGTCGACATGTTTGGATCGGATGGCAAAATGAAAACTCTTAGTAAAACTGTTGACTCAAGGATATGCATCTCTGTCAATGCATCTCTGAGCAGAAAGGTTGCTCCCAACCTGTGTGGAAGTCTGGAGAACCAGAACTGCAAGTGCCAATGTCCATTAAATTCTATAAAAAAGCACATGCATGTTGAGGAGGACTTAATCACACTGAACTTTCCTAAAACGAGGGAACAAACAATGGAAAAGTTATTATCTAAACTTCGTGAGCTGCATGACCCATATCTAGTTTTAGAAATAAAATGAGTATTGTAAAGCAGAATGCAAATTCATGTGCAACAAGAATGGACTAGATGAAGTCAGCCTGTTCTGTTTAGACATGAAACCCTTTGAGAGCTGTTTGTGTGCCTTCTTCTGGGACTTACAGATACAGTAGCAGAGTATCACCGCCTGCATCCCAGTGACAACTATTGGATAAAGAACTCTAACAGCTGGAGGACGATAAAACAGTACAGACTTGATTCTTGGTTGGTATGTACAGTGTGTTTTCCTGAGGCTGTTTCAGAGGCACAAGTGTTCAGATTGAAAGAGAAAGAGCCATGTGTCCATGTTATCTCAACAATGCTCCCAGATAAAAAGGAAATTACCAGTTAAAGGCACAGCCGTAGTTTTGCGTGCCACTGTGCTTCAGGGAGAGATTACCCGATAAAAAAAGAGCAGGAGGGAGAGGAGAGCTTTAACCCACTGCGACTGCATTCAACACAAAGGCTCATGTATCACTGCAATCCTATTAAACTTAGCCACTGTCAGCACGTCCAGCTCATCCATTGATCTTCGCCAAGGGACTGTTTAATATATTTTCACATCATTCCATTTTGTCTTGGTTCAAGACTTCTTGTCGGTTTTGATTTAACCACCTTCTGGCATTGTCAAAGCATGACAGATCTTGCACACCTGACTTCATTCACAAATGACAACAAAAACTAAAAGACAGAATGTACAGTGCATTACAGAGCTCTCCAGTATAGTGAGATTCACTTTAACAACACTGACTCAGGCAAACCGATGCAGAGACTTTGTCTCTGTACTGGAGTTTCCAGCTGTCTGTCATTACAATGCAAACCAGTGCCGGATTATGTGACATCAAGTTCAATTAAATCATCAGTCAATTAAAATAAATGAACTGTCAGTCCAGAGGTAAAGTGCTAGATGAGCTATAATCTGGAAAATCCAGCTGCAGGGCTCTACAGAGTTCAATTAAGAATTATCTTCCCCTGTGCGCAACTAAACACAAACACAGATGCTTTATTCTGTCAAGATTTCTTCAGGTTTTATTCTGCGAGATGTACAAGCACCCTTTCTCCGGCCCAACCCTCTGAGGAGCAATCATGCTATTTTCCCAGGTGGTAAGCTATTAAATTTGTTTTTTTAAAGGTACCCAGTGCGAATGTGCAAAAACGATCTGGACTGGAGGGAAATGACCCGTAAAAAATTGAAAAGAAAAGCAACAACCCTCCTCTGCACACAATTTAATTTAAATCCAATGCCACCACATTACACTGCCCCACACACACACTGTGTGCAAACACTCCCCCCCCCCACCCCCTTCATCTTCTTCAAATAGAAAAGCCGGTTTCATCATCTGAGTCTGGAAAAACACCATAAATTACATAATCAGGCGCTGAATGCCCTACGTGCCCCTGCTAATGGTTATTTTCTTCATTTTGCTCTCTAACCAATGCAGTGCAATGGCTGTTGTTGACGAAAAGCTTCTCATTTGGCAACTGCACGCCGCAAGAGCATTTTGTTTGGGTGCTGTTGTTCTTTTCCCAGCTCGAGCATCAATCAAAACCTCAGAGATATGAGGGAATACGCAGAGGCTGATAGCCATGCGTGGGCAGGGTGCACCATAACAGAGGCAGCGCCGGTCCTCTTTAAAGATTTTCCTCCATTTCCAACAAATTGGCTCAGAGGAGAATGTGGCTACAAGGATTACAGTGTGATACTGAAAGATAAAACTATATTATAATAAACAGACAGTATTTTATTCATTTTTCTCAAGCATCTACTATACATACATTTTGCATTGCCCTGTTTTACCAGGGTGTATTCATAGGATACTGCATTGCAATGCATTGCTACACTTTACTGTTCTTTTATAATGGTAAACCCTAGTCAAGTGTTATAAGAGATTTTAAAAATCCAGCTAAAATACTTCAGTCTAAGGCCTGCTGGGGCTAGAAATGTCTATAGTATTGACAGCTGATCTATAGTTGTGCTATCCAAGCTTGGTCTGACATACTGTACCACAGTTCTTTGGGTTTTATAAAGATCTTTAAGTCCCTAATGGCAACAGCAAAGACAACTTTTATATGAGGTTGACATTTTTGTCTCAGGTTTCTTCTTTAGGGATTCCAGCCACATCTCCTTGAGCACTTGCAATTTGCAATTTCAGTGCTCAAGTCTTAATGTCTTAGCAGAAACGACACCATGCTGTAAATGGAAAAGGAAGAGATCTCCTCCCAAAAACACGACCACGTGTGGAGATTTAATAGGAAGAAAGAGCGCTGTGTAAAGGTCAGGGTCTTAATCCTGTCCAAATCATGACAGATCTCATCAATGATCTATTGCTGACCTCCAGATTAACCTGCCATGAATAACCTGCATAAAACACCCCTGAGGAAATAAACTCAGACATGTTGTCTGACAAAATTGCTTTTGATATTCAAAGGAATAATCTGTCAGCATCACTCCACTGAGACTGCTGGCGAAATTGGGGTATGCCCTGAAATCCACCCATCTATCCATCCATTCCTTACCATTTCTTCCAATTATGAGTCACAGAGTAGCTGGTACCCATCCCAGCGAGCAACGGGCACAAAGGGGGGTACAACCTGGATGGTTTACCACTCCACTGCAGGGCACACGCAGACATGCACACACCCACACCAGGGCCAACTTTCCCCTAAGCCAACTAACACACCAGCATGTCTTTGGACAATAGGAGGAAACTGGAGTACAGGGAGAACGTGCAAACTCCACTCAGACAGATCAAAAAGATTAACAATGGGTGTACGTGTGAATAAAGTACAAAAGAAGTACCGCACACTCCAGTATGGAGAAGAAAGAAGAAAACCTACAATTGGAACACTGAAATGAGATTTGATGTTGAGTTACAATCGGAGTGAATCATTCTGGACACAAGGAATCTTTTGCTGCCCCACAGAAAGCAGTTTTCAGCCTTTTTTCTAATCCTTCAGGAGTCACGGATTGGTGTTAGAGTGACCATTGGATTAATTCGAGCCGAGGTCTCAAAATCTCTAAACAGGCTGTGAAACCCCCACACACACTGGCTGCTTGGAAGGCATCCTTCCTCCACCTTTATACCAAAATAACTGGCAAACAGTATCAACATTTACAGCTCTTCCTGACGTTTTAATAATTTAAACATTTTAATCCCACTTAGGGATTTGGACAAATTTCCAAGCCATGTGTTATGATCGCACAAGATGGAAAGCAATGTGCTCTGAAAACAACATCCTTCTGCAACCCCTCAGACTCTGTTAGAACCTGCATGGTCCAGTTGCACCTCCAGGTAAACACGCTGGGCCAGGGCTCTGCTCTCCTCTGCTCCAGCCAGAACGATGAAAACCTCCATAAAATGCCAAGAACTAATGCGCTTTACAAGTGAGTTTCTGAAGCAATATGATATAAGTCTAATATGGAAAATGAAGTAATCAAAAAATGAAATGCTTCAATTTACAGCATTAAAGCTATTTTGCTTTATGATACTGTGGTACCGTATGGAAACAGTCTAAGAGTAGAGAAAGTGACAGGTACTAAAAGAGCTCCTATTTTTGATAGTAGGGAAGAAACAGGAAACCATTGGATGAATTTAAGTCTCCCCCTGTACCACTACATCTGAAATCCCTCAGTAAGCAACACTAGAACGCTTGTTATTCTTACCACAGACATATGAGGAGCTATTTGCATAGAAAAATGGCTGGTAAATCTGATGTCACCGGGTGATTGTAGACACTCCTACCTCATCCCTGCCACAGTCCTGGAAGTATATGACTCCTATGCCGTTTTTCCCCTAGTTGGTACAGTGCAGCCGTGCAAACCCTTTCCCTTAGATTTTATAAAGGAGATTCTATAGTATGGTAACTTACATAACAGCAAAAGGGCACAGATACAAACGCGTACGTGTGTAACTATATAACCTTATTTTAAAATTAAAGCATGGGGGAAGTGCGCATTCATACACGTCACGTATGAATACGGTGCGGGTCTTTTTGCACATTAAGAATAAAAAAACTTCTAAAAACATGACAAATTAAGCACATCTACAAGGTGTCCAAAGCCTGCGAGCTCTTGGTGCATTTTACCTGCAAAATGCGCTAATATGAAGCGAACCACGTTTCGGAACCAGCACTCGTTGATGCTGTAATTAATGCATTGGACCTTGCCAGGCATTTCAGAAAACATTACCTGGTGACAACTCGCGCTATCAGAGCGGCGCTATCCGACCCGGCGCGCACAAACCATTCGCATTTATTCCTGCTCGGAAACACGCTCCCACGGTCGCGCAGTGGCGTGACAGCAAGTGTTAGGTGATGCGTGTACGCGTTGGCAACAAAGCCCATCACACGCGAACGTGGAAAAAGCGCCGAGCGCCGGAGCCCAGACTCCTCACACCACAGGCAAGGCGTGGACAGTGGGATGCTAGGTCCGGGGCGCCCCCTCGCAGGATCATGCGGGAACTGCAGGCGCTCTGGGGGGTTTAAAAGCCCTGCCTGAGCCCGCGCTGGTGACAGTGAGAAAGGGGATCTGATTGGAAAAAGTTCGCTCGGGATTTTGAGCTGAGAAACATAAGCATGGCCAACAAAGCTCAACCTCCTTACCTGCATCTGGCAGAGCTGACCGCCTCCCAGTTTCTGGACATCTGGAAACACTTTGATGCCGACGGTCAGTAAGGATGCTCAAAAAAACACGTTTTAGGTCATTTGTTTGTGAGTGCGCGTGTGTGTGACTACCAGTTTGAAGGAATGGGGGTTATTGCTTTAAATTCCTGTGTGTTTCGAGGTGATGCGAGCTCTCTGTGCAGTGACGCTTTTTAATTGATGAGATTAAAGGAAAACCGCGTGAGAGCTGGAAACAAAACTTGGAATTTTCGTTACTGGGGTTAACGACACCTCTAGACCTCTGGGTGGAACAATATTTGCATGTGCAGTAAGATGGGTTTAAATAATAGTATTAATAATAATTGCAATTAAGTTATCTAGATTTTGTTGATAACACTGTACTACAAGCCGGACGTCGTTATCGAAAGGGAACTTATTCTGATTACGAATTGCCCAGAGTTATAGTGCAGGATGCTACACGTTACACAGCATTTTTCAGAATACACTCTACCCCGCTTTAAAAAAAGAAAACTGAATTTGGTATAATTGTGTGTGGGAGGGGGGACTTAATTCACATTCATCTTGTAAAAGTTTTTGTAAACGTGCCTGTCTTTGAACCATTTTAAATGAATATCTAGTACTTCGGTTGTGCATTTTTTTAAAGGTATGTCAGGCGAACCTCCAATAGGTCTGTAGCACATTACAACAGTAATGATTACGAATCATTGCTCCTCTATTCTGAGCTCGGGAGCTCCACACGGTCCAAGCGATTGGCAGATTGAAAGAAAACTGCCCAGCGCTAGTCCGCTTACAAACATCTAGTTTTTAATACCTGCGCTGCAGTCAGGTCTAAATAACTTGAGGCTGAAACAGTGCGAGAGAACAATACAGCTCAAAAGTCTGATGACCAGTCTGCTGAAAGTGCAGGTGCTTTTTTATTTCACTACAATCACACTGACATCTTTAAGAACTACGGTTCAAAGAAAAATCTCGCAAATCGAAGGCATCTTTTGAGAAGACTTGAAGAAGTCTGTTCGTGCTGTATACCGAAGAGGTCTCTGAAAAGCGACCCAAGTTTTAACTTGGGATTTCTGATTAAACCGATGAATCCAAAGATGGGTTTTCTTGCATCTGCTGACGAGGTGCGCACTCAAACGGTAGATTGAGACTCGAGCTGCCCCCTTTCTATTAAGCGAGTTCCTATAAAAGGAAAACCCAACACCTGTTTTTCCGACTCGTTTGATGAGTACATCTTGATCGTAATTGCAGACAGCTACAGCCTTGCAGCTGGAGACTACAATACTTAGTGCAAATCTGGAACAATTACACCAATGTTACTCCTTACACAGCCACAGCACATACTGACCCATGCATACATCCACTGGGCACCGTTTTTTAAAAGCCTTCCTTGTCACACTTGGCTGCATCAATCACTTCAGATTACACATACTGTAAACATCCCAAAGGATCCCAAAACTACTTACAGTACATACAGGAGGGAACCCACTTCATCTCCCTCCAATGTGCAGCCCCACCTGGTGACACAGAGGAGCCACCTTGTGCCAGCAGCCCAACGACACAGCAGATCGGGTGAGGGAGTGAGAAACCGCTTCACTATTTGAACCTTTTGATCTTTAATATGTTCCAGCCCTGAGTGGAATTCAGCAGCAACACCAGGACTGACATCTGTACACTTATGAATAGCGCCCTAGGATCGATACTGACCAAACCATCAGGATCTCGGGTCCTGGGTCATCATAGTACTGTATGGCTTTGGTTTCGAAGTTGTGGTCTTTCATTTCGGCGTGAAACTGGGAGATCTGAATTCATTTGGAGTCTTGAAGTGGACGTCTTTACTTAGACAGGCTCAAACACTGCTTGAATAATATTCACTGAGAGTCAGAGCTCAGCTCTACATTTCACTCTACAGGCTGCAGGAGAAACACCAGCAGTAGGTGTGCATGAGGTGTTTAGTGACACCGCAGGCTTCTGGAGACAGGCTGACATTTGCAATGCTTTTTAATGTCTGCAAAAAATGAGGGACATCTTATTGACTGAACTTCACATCCTAGCTGGTAACTTCACCTGTCATGCTTTGCTTAAATGCATTTGTTAATACAGTGTGGTGCAGAGGGACAGTCTCTGGATTCCTGCCTGGAAGGTTGTGGGTTCCAATCTTTAGCAAAACACTCCTGTTGTACAGTACCATTGAGAAAGATATGTCAGTTCCAGTGAAATAACCACCTGGATCAGTGGGCACAAAAGGTGCTTTAGATAAAGGTGTCAACAAAATAAATACTTGGCTTTTAACAATACATATGTCCTAACAGCAGTCTCTGCAGAAAAGGTAATGTGACTATCCATCAACCAACGCTGGTGAACGAGATCCTTTCTAAGACACTAGCAGCTACAGTCTTTTGAGTCCTTATGTCAGCCTTTTTTTCCACAAGGGACAGTTTTCTGGTTGAAACCTTGGTTGCGGTCAGCAGGTAGCTCTGTGCTTAGCGGTGGTTATAAGGACTGATCAGGTTGTACAGATGTACCTCCATCCTATATACATGCATGTATGACCTGTACATTTCCAGGTCATAGGAATCCTTTGTAAAACCGAGCTTTTGGTAACATGTCTAGGCAGGTGGGAGATTATTATACATCTCACCAGGTGCCATTCACAAAAAGCCTTGTTATATAGCCTGCAGCTTATATATAACATATTTTCTTATATAGAAAAAGCCATGTAATATAAACCTTTCCATGCAAGTTACATTGCTCCTTAACAACTGTATGAGGTGTAATAGTTAACAGTACTGATCATATCCCCACCTTCTGAACACAATGAATATAAGTAATCCATTTCTGGGACAGCACAAACGAAGTAGAAAAAGTCAGAAGTTCTCTTTTCTTTGAAGAGACCAATGTTTTGCATAAAGAAATCCAATCAGGGGTAACCAAACAATGCCGTAGCAAAACCATACACATGTGCAGCTTAGAACTGAGGTGGCAGTGAAGATGTACCACCCCCAGGGCATGTTTCCCGATTGTTTTCTAGAATGTTGTCAAAGTCAAACTAGAACAACGCAATGCTGTTGCAACACTAACTTGTGAGCTTGGGACTTGGTTACAGGCCAGCGTCTTATTAACAGGTATAAAACATCTCAAGGCAAACACCCTTTATCCACAACACAAATGGCTTATGTTTTTGTAATGTGGCTGCAGTGTTGTTTCTGAATGCCTGGCATAGCCAAACTGCCAGTAACATTGGCAATAAGCTTCTAGCACATTAAAAACACAACCTTCCAGCAACATCTGGAAATGTTCCAATGCAGTGTGTTAGCTAGGATGCCTAGATGCATTGCATTTGTTCCTAAAGAACCACCCTGCACGTAAAGACTGGACAGTCTACAGTATGTTCCCTTTTTGCTGGTACATCAATAGTTTTGAACATGTACGGTGCAGGGGGTACCTCTTGTGGGAATACAAAGTGCCGTAAGCATGACAGGGCTGCCAGGTCTGCTTTTGTTTAAGTGCTCCTACACCCCCCCAGTATGATTATTTAAACTTGTAACTGAAAACGTTACTGAAAAAATCAGATCTATTTCCGTGCTGCGCTACCATGTTCTTGCAGTCCCAGCATCTTGCAGATGAGCTCCCCATAAACAGGGGTTCCCAGATGGTGGGCTGACGAGGCACCCAGACACATGTCCGTCTGCCAAGCATGTTTATTCACACTGGAGACACGGCTGGTCTGCACGTCTGAGGCAAGGGAGAAGGACAGAGAAATAAACACCTGTAACTACAACACAGCGGAAGGCCCTACCGCTTTCATTCACTTATTCTGAGCCTGAATCTAGACACGGTCATTTCAGCTTTCCTCCACAGTAGATCATACTGTGTGTCCTCTCATTTCAAAGCAGCAGGAAAACGAGAGATTTTAATGCGATATAAAGAAGTCTTCTTCACGTATTCAGGGCATCGTCAGCAAGGGGTTTAGTCAAACAGGAAATGGAGAATGTCTTCGTTTCCTTTAAGGCACCACAGATCAAAGCAGCAGGCGACCAACTGTGAGTAAACCTTCCAGAGCAGTTTGGGAGTTCGTTTCTCAGTGCCCACATGGACTGCCACATCCCTCCAGCAGAAGTCAACATGAAAAGGAGGCGAACACATCACGGACATTAATTCGACAGTGCTAAGAGCAAAAGACGGAACCGATAACTCGGAAACGAAGCAGCTCTGCGCACGCAAAAGAGTCGCACTTAGTGCTTCACTGAACCACCACAAGGTACTTCGAGGGTTGATGAATGCGGTTTTTCCTTTTGATAGCCTGTGCTAACTACTGCCTGGTTATAAATAAATGAATCGCTGCTGCCCAGTGTGAATATTTCGCACAAAACCCATAAAAGCCTTTCAGAATGCTCAATAACCACTTGGCAAACCCCCAGAAATATGACTAGCTTTAAAAGCTTTCCGAGTCTTTTGTGAGTGTGTGTGAGTGTGTGTGTGTATTAGCCAGGGATTTGCTGTTAACTGCAGATTTTGTTTGAAAGATGCATTACGTAACGAGCTGTCATGGCACCAGATGTGCAGCAGCTCAAAAGAATTTGTTTTATTTTTGTCTTAATGGATACAGACCAATCAACTAGCAGAATTGCTGGCCCAGATTAATTTTGGCCAAAGGGCACTGTGAGACTGCGGTAGTTTCGGATTAGAAAAAAAAATACAATGAAGAGTTTAATCCAGATGACAATCTTTTGATATAATCAGATTAGGAGTGAATGTGTTGGAAGTGAGTTTAGATTTCATGAAACTTTAATATTCCCCCCCAATAAATGAAAAACCAAATCCAAAATATTTTTTGCTGTATGTATTCATTAATAGGAGTTTAGTGTAAAAATATGTATTCTGCGGAGAATGAGTTCAAAACTAAATTATGGTTCTCTCTTCTTGACATACTTTTTTAAACCTTGTATTCATTTAATTTCATGGACAAATATGACACTTTGATGTCAGAATAGACGATTAAGTGCCAGAATCTCTGGACAGCATAGAAGGAGGAATATTCACTTA